CTTTGTTGTAGTTATCCTACAGAGAAAAGAAAATGCACTTGACTTGGAATTAATAATGGTAAAAAATGTATACAATATATATATATAACTTCTATTAATCATTTTCGGCCATTCGGTTTTCGGCCAACTGTTTCCTATTTTCGGTAATGGTTTCGGCCAAGAATTTCGCATTCGGTGCACCCCTATAACAAAGTATTGAGATGAACTTTTAAACAGCAAAATTAAGAGATCTATGGATACATCTCTCAACACCCATATGAAACAGAACTGTAAACACATTTACTTTTTCTTTATGGATATTTTACCTCATAAAATTGTATGTTGGTTGCCAGATGCTAACAACACGGTCCCTGCTGGCACCGGTGCGCTCTCTCTCTCTGGTGTCTTGCCTCTGTTGCACTCACTGAACACGGGAAATTACAATCCTGCCGTCCTCTCTAGTGTCATGATGCGGTTCAGGTAAAGCACGGTTAATGTATTATATTATTGAGGGAGAGTTGTCCGGGGCTACAGAAAAAACCTTCGGGGGTAAAACCCCGAATGCCCAGGCCAGGCGACGCCACTGGCATTCATCACACTCAGCACTAGCATATAGCTAGTACGCTAGCTAAGATAAATGTGGCACTGGGTATACCTTCTAAATCCAAGCATTTTAGCTCTGTCATTGTTAGCATAGCATTTAGCTAAAATTACTGCTAGTACAGGTGCAAAAAGACACTGCGGCTTTAGAATCCTATAAGGCAATGGCTCACAAATAGTAGAAATGGTTACATTTTACACTAACAATTGTTCAGGGTCCTTTTTTAGAATGTCTAAGAATCAGGAGGAGTAATCTAAATAGTTTATTTGATAAGAGAAAATGAAAAGTAGAGCACATGGCCCCGACGAAATCTGGAGTAGCCTACATTGACAAAAGAGCACATTAGAGCAGGCAAAAAACGACTCCAGCAAATACACACAACGATCCAGTGCATTGTTATTCTGATGTACCTGCTGTACTAAAAATGGTTCCATTATTTCTCAATAACCTTGAACATAGATAGCAATAGATGTTTAAATAAAAACACATCTATCCTCTTGGAGCTGCAGAGCAGAAACAGCAATGACCGCTTAGCACCAAGGATTAGAAAATAATATATATATCTCACATTACCACTTGAAAAAATGTAAGACTGTAAGAAATCCTGGGTACATTTGCATATGACCTTGTTGAGTGGTTTGGTGAAACACAGAAAGGTGCTTCTCTGTGCACGCATCTAATCAGACAGCGTGATTAAACCGGGCGGACCCCCTGTTGCATGAGGGCTCTGTAGCTCACGTGTGCGAGCATACACTCATTTAAGAATCAGGGGGAATGAGTGTCAGTCAAGGTCTGACACACTGTCTTCTCAATAATCCTTACATCTTAAGTTCAGAGAGTTTTTTCCTGTGTCTTTATGGACATTTTGGGGAAATATAAGTAATTTTGTGAGCTGTTTTTACAAAGACAAGTTGAGGATTTTATAGAAAAATATGACCCTATTATTAAAAATGTATTTATGATTATATGAAGAATGAACTAATAGGATTGAAAGTGTCTTTCCAATTCACTGTGTCTCTAATGCTTCGGATCTTCTCCCAGTGTATCAAATATCTGCTAATTAACTTCCCTTTCTGGCTTCACTCATGCTCCCACTCCCTGTCGGTCTTTCTCTCTCATTTTTCTTTCTCCAGCCCATCCTCTTGCACCAGTCTCACACACACACACACACACACACACACACACACACACACACACACACACACACACACACACACACACACACACACACACACACACACACCACCTCACTTTGTCTTCCTATGTCACTCATGTTTTCCATCTTTGCTCATTTGGTCCAAGTTTATCTTGTCATCTAACGGATTCCTCTGCAAAGTGAAAAATGACATTTTGGGTCGGGGACTTCAAGGATGGTCAAGTTAATGAATGGCCACCAGATGGCCCTTATTAGGCTAATGTGATCCCCCTCTCCGCAGCCCCAGCGCTCGCCTTGGGAGTTAACTCGCTGGCAGCCGTGTGTGTGTGTGTGTGTGTGTGTGTGTGTGTGTGTGTGTGTGTGTGTGTGTGTGTGTGTGTGTGTGTGTGTGTGTGTGTGTGTGTGTGTGTGTGTGTGAGAGAGAGGTGTGTGTGTGTGTGTGTGTGTGTGTGTGTGTGTGTGTGTGTGTGTGTGTGTGTGTGTGTGTGTGTGTGTGTGTGTGTGTGTTAAATCGGGTTAACCTGAGGAGGATGGAAGGACGCTGCACCTCCACTCAGCCGCTCTGTTTTGATGGGGTCAACTGTCCACTGCTGTCCCGGTCACTCCGGCACCCAGCTGACCCCTCGGCNATCTGACAGCCTGACACCACCGCTGCACTCCAGACTGAAGTTAACATGCAAAAATAGGATTTAGGGAATGAGCATCGAGGCTTTTTCCCCTCCAATCTGACAGCGTGTTAATTGCCTCATTTATAATCCCTGCTCATCAAAATGAATAATTGCTGTAATGCATGCATCTACCACAAAGACCTTTGTTAAACTCCCAAATAACGCTAAATATGGCAATTAATTGAGTTTAATGTATTAGATCGTCATCAGTGTGCGCTGCCTCTGGGCCCTTTGTGTTCCTGGATGCTGTAGCTGTGAGGGAAGAGAGCAGAGCTGTCAGAGCTGTTTCAAATGAGCACCGCCGTTAGTCTCCGTTAGCCGCCGTTAGCTGCTCTACAAGTGACTAAAGGCCACAACAACATCTCCCTCCGTCTGATTAAAATTCATAATTTCTCTGGTTTTGTGAACAGAATTGAATTAGTAACAGAAAACAATGGCTTGGTGTAAATGTAACCATACATTCTGATTTAACTTGTTCACTATTAGATCACACTATATGTGTATCCACACGGAACTGTTGCATTCACAAATGAATGTATAAATGTTGAATATATTGCATGCTGTGTTTGTAAGGCCATCTGTCAGGTCGGCTCTGGATGTAAATGCACTTATGGTTCTTAGGCATTTGATATTTACATTTAAGTCACACAAATGACTTGAGGTTTTTCACAAGATTTTTTGACGTCTTGAAATCTTGACTTACTGGGACACAATATAAAAGGAGTTGTGAATGTTATATATTTGATATGAAAAAGGAAAAATTTGCTTTAAGTGGCACCATACAATGTTTGCATGCACCAATTAATAACAAGAAAACCTTCTCAGCACATTCAGATGTGGAATTGAATGGACAGACGTAGCTAACAGATCTATGAAAAGTGAGCCGGCACATAAATGAAATGCAACTGAATGAGCAGTCAATGCGTGAGTGTGCTTGCCACAGTAGACTAAATAGGGCAACAGCATCATCATTATCCATCACTCTGAAGGTATAAAACTGTAATAAGGGAGTAGGGTGACCCCAGGCGGGTTGAAACTCTCGTAGTGGTGGTGCCGCGCCATCAGTGGAGGCTGGGACATAACTGCTGACGCCACCACATTCCCAGGAATGACAAATGAGAGCTGAATACATCTGGAGGTGCTTCAGGGGACACTGGGGAATGGGCACATTGCGAATGGCACGATTGCCAGTTGAGGTTAGGAGGGAAAGAGGGAGGCAAGCAACGAGTGATAGCGACTCAAAGACCCTAAAATAGAAGCTCTGCCTCCCACATTTCCATCATCCCTCTGCCACACGGAGGAAACGGGGGTCTGCATACATAATATAGAGGACTGCATGGGTGTATACTATCAGCTAAAGTCCCTCTAGCCACAGTTATGATTTGAGCCACAGTATAGAGTTAAAGTCGAATCAACGGCTGCAGCCAAATAGAACACATTCACACAGCTCACATTGATTGTGTATATTAAAGATCCTCAACATACTGTCATTGTTGCTTTTATGTTTAAATTCCTTTCATATAGTTTATTTTTATAAATTCAGCATATTTGGTCATACATAGTCTATATTACTCTAATTTGGTCTATTTGCCATATGTGTTATTTCCGGTGGGAAGAGTATGAAAAGCCAGTTCTCCCTTTTTTGGCTCACACAATGGCTGAGGTCCAGATTACATTTTTAATTGTTATTTATTAATATTGATATTTTCCATCAGACTAAAAATTGCTGGTTGCATTTTGACCTTAACACTCAAAACCCTTTACCCTATTATCTCTCAGAAAGCCAGCACAGGGCTCCAGATTTAAACACACAAACGTACTGTAAACGGCCATTTCTATGCATTGCACAACGATCCAGATAAATAATGGATGTGAAGCTCCCCAGCAGCACTTAAAATAAAAGTATCTGGTGATTTAAACAAGATGCACTGGGGCATGTGTTGGGCTCACACATAATGTTAAACCCCAAATCAAAATCTTTCACATGCTGCTCCACACCAAATATTACGGACGAGCAGTTAACATGCCAAACGTTAAAGTCATATAGATAATTGATACGTCAAACAAATGGCTCGTCATGCTGCCTGTCTGTGGTGGTTGTTCCAGCCCTGGAGATCTTGTAACTCGAAGTGTACGATGCCGGAAAGTATTCCAGTCCCACTTCAATATCACAAGGCCCGATGAGCTAATGCATTTGGAACAGAGGGGCAAATGAAATGTAACCGAGACAGCAGCTTTCCATGCAGAGTGATGGTTTCCTCATCTCCTCTGCTAAATTGAAGTGGATCAGTGTGAGCTCCACACTCCAGAATAAACCGCGGGGGACGGAAGAATCACCGGCACCAGTGGAAGTTCCTCGGTTGGGTTTGAATTTCACTGGAGCACAAGTCAAACTTAAAATCTACTGGAATAAAAACAAAAGGGCAGCTGAAGTTAAGTTACCCCATTTTAACTGTATGTTTCCAATATGTCTCAAACGTTGCCTTAAGTGTTCTGATAACACTTTCCACATTGTCAAATAACATAAAACATAGGCTAATTCCATATATGTCTATTTTAGTGGTGCCTTGAAGTGATATTATATTAATGTGGGGAAAAATATTTAAATCTTGCTCACGCAGGATGGGACATTTGAGCCTTTTCATCTATTTTCCAACAATAGAGCAAATAAGGGTCTTTTGGAAGTCATCCGGACACTGATTGAGTTGTTTTAAGATGTGTGAGATTTAATTGTACAATAAAATGTTTTGAGGTGAAACTCTAAATTCAGAAAAATTCAAGGTCAATGACATTTAAGAAATTGCTCTGGTGAAATCAACACATTATTTGAAGCCTCCACAATCTGCTCTCTGTACAAAAAGAAGAAACCCAAATACATATTTTTCCTTACCTGCGTAAGACTTTTTCCTGTTTTCTATATTTCTATATGTCAAAATGGATTGCTATACATATAGAAAGGATTGGTTAATTATTTGTTCACCTATACTTTGTATGTGTTATGTTACCTGTGCCAGCTGTTCCCCTAATCACATGCAATATATGAATGCACCAGCTCATATCACTCAATTTTTTTCTCATGCGTAGTTTTTGAATTCCGTGTCCTTGTGCAAACATGACACTGACAATGCAAACTACAGGTAACTAATGACATAGCTCCTGCAGAATGTCAGGCATACGCATCATTATGCAGCGACACGAGAGCTGCTAATGATGTGTCACTCATATGATGATAATAAAGAGTATTCTGTGATAGTATGGCTAACAAATGTGGGTCACAGAAACAAACACCTACATACACACCTCCAGATTTCACTTTTTCCTTCAATGCATGCACACAGGGAACAAACTAGAGAGTGGAACAAAGGGTGTCATCACACCAGAGTATTTATTTACAGCTCAAACTGAATATAACAAGTATCAGTCACACTTGTAACGCATGTTGGATGCTTTTGTTAAGCTTGTATTTGACTCAAACTTCAGCTGTCCGGCAGGTACCTGTTGACCTTGAAACTGAATTTTGAAGGACAACTACTTGACGTTTTTGTACCCCCTCATGAGCAGAATTCATATGGAAAGTATAATGTTACCTGCCTTTCATCAAATTAAATTATACTTTTGAACTGTGTTATGATGCAGAATATTATCAAAGGCAATGTGTGTGGCACCATATGTTACTGAAGTGTGTCTATGCATATGTGTGTTAGGGACACTGCTCTTTTTTGTATGTGTGAATAAAAAATAAGGCTATGACGAAGAACTGCAGCTCTAAAAAGTGCACTAGAGTATGCATGACTGTATGCTTTCATTTTATGCCACTGCCAGTTGGAATGCAATCACACTTGGCTGCTGAGAAATGCCGAGCCATGTCAACATGCAGCGCTGTGGACGACATGCGCTCTCTTGAATCAACTTTGCAAGACTGCATATGTATGAGAATAAACCAAAGGCTATGATAATGTAGCTGCAACCTGTAAAGGTACAGGAGTGTTTGTGTGTTTCTGAATGGACCAGTGTGTGTGTTTTATGGTGATGAGCTGTCTGAGTGTGCTCCGTAGACAGCGCCTCAGTGTTTATGCAGTGCTGATAGTCTCCAGGAAAAACAAGGGGGGAAAGAGTGCTGCTTGATATTTACACACAGCAGCTATACCATCTGGCAATGATGATGGCTCCCTCATTGCCCCAAAAGACAGCGATAAACCTGGAGAAAGCATGAGTGAGAAATAGACTGGGATATATGGAGTGCAGTCGAAGAAGTCAAAACATGACAGATTAGATGAATTGCAGGGAGATGGAAAGGAGCGTGGAGGGATGACTGCAGTGCTAAACTAAAACAAGAGAGTAAACTGAGCAGGCCATTTTGTTGCAATGGTCTTCACTGGTGTTTATTCATGTTCAAGACAGTTTGCTTTCACAGACATGTATTCAATATGCTATCATGTATGCTGCCAGGAATCCTCTGAAAGAACGTCTACTTCCAAACATCATTTATGTTGTGTCATCGCACGTGTTAACCCCTTTGATAGATATACATTCGTCCTTACCCGTGACCATTTTACATCTATTTGTATTCACCTTATTAATGCTGCTCTCTTTAATACCAACCTCTGACTATGAAACAAATTCATTTGTGCTCCATGCTTTATCCGTACATTTGAGATCAATTAGATCTAGGATAGCTAGCTGGTTTGGAAAAGCATCCAATTTAGGAGTGTGAAATGCACTGATTTCATCTGCACTTATTGTTAGGACTCATTGGAATGTCATAAGGAGATGCTTGGGAGGGGGCGCTCCTGAGCCCCTTAACCCCCCCTCTGACAGACTGTGTCACGCAGGAAGGGTCTCAGTATGTACTTTGTAGACTGTGCCAGGCCCTCTCTGATTTGGGAGCAGCCTCGCTGTAACTATCAGCCGCCCCTGCTCCTGTATTATCAGTGACAAGAGCTTCTGGTATTATCAGTGTCAACAACACAGAACTCTTTGCTCATCTTCAAAATCCATTTCATATCAGAGAGGACTGCAGCGGTCCAGAAAGTTTATCCTAACAATCTCTGAGTGCTGAGAAGAGGGCTGATGTCACCGTCTCTCCAGCCATCTGTCACACTGGAGGTCCGGCCCCAGCTGGAGGAGGGGGGGGAGGGGGAGAGAGAGAATGCTGGATCCAGACTGCCCGGCCCAAAAAAATAAAGCCCGACTGGTGGGTGTTCAGTACAGTGTCTCTTCACCCCTGTTGGGCCACCAGTGATCCTTTTGGTCAGTTTAACTTTAGCCCCGGCAGGTAGTCAGACTCCAGATGGCAGAGGAGACCCCCACGTAACCACACGACCTGCACTCATGCATCATTTTTTACGAGAAAGCAACCATAAGCATTAACTTAGTAAGGTGTGCATCTTACTTGCAGTTTTTCAGTGTCCCCTTTTTTGCATTGAGTTTAATTTGCTATGTTTGGACTGGAGGTTTTGGTTAACTTGGTTTGTTATTAACACCTTGTTATAATAACAGGACCTGCACGTTATCCCAACATTCAATCACACTCACATGTATTAGCCAATGAGCTAATGAGAAGCAGCACCCCACTGGCTGCAGGTTATTTAAGTCCTGTGGAGGGAATAGCAACAAAACACGGCAGTAGCACCACGGCAGCTATTTAATGAGCACTACGACATTTCAAGGACTGAGTCCTAAGTTTAGCCAGGAAGTCCCTTCTGAGCCTGCTGAGCTCACAGATATTAGACCACTAAAAAGACAAAATGCTGAATTACTCAAAGGGTTCCCAACTGCATTGCGATCCTGAACCTACACATAATGACGTCAGCATTTAATAACAATCTAGGAATGCTTTATAATTAGAGTCGGAAAGGTTGAAAATGCCTTTTAGGTGTCATTATGGTTTTGTATAAAAGGGTTTATTCATTGAAATATGTAATTTGAAGGCTACCATTTTCAATAACTCTTCATTATAATTCATCATTACCATGACTCATCAAATGTAGCACCCAGCACAATATGCTCCTGCATTCCCTTAGGGTTTTTTATTTGAAATATCGTTTAAAATCCTTATTAGAAATTACATACAATTTATGTTGACTACATGGTTACTCTTTGTCTTCAGTTTTTTTCTAAAAACACAGTACGTGAGAGGCTAAAGGCCGGGACATCTCTAAGCGTTCATAACATTGCTGGTCAGCTAACCAATCAGAGCAGACTGGGCTCTGGTTTCAGACAGAAGGTGAAAAGAGGTGCTGCAGCACAGGTAGTATGAGAACAATAAAGAGCTTTTTGAACATTAAAGCATGGAGACATGTCACAGTAGAGGCACAGAATAATAATATGAACCTGAATATGTCCTCTTTAAGTATATTTAATAAAATGACTACACATTAGAAGAAGCAATGTATATCTTTATTATATGCTATGTACATATTTTACAGTATGGTACAGCAACAATACACGGTAATGCTACACAGTTGAGATTGCACGGTTTTAGAGTTAGGCCACAGCGGTCGGTACCGTGGTTCTGACACAACACTGAGTGTACAGGAAGTACATCTTTGGCTTCAGGGGATCACAGAACATGGAGCGGGGACACAGAATGCAAACTTCAGTCAGGAGGGAGCAATAATACACAGAGAGGGAAGGGGGGGGGGTGACTTGTCATTGGATTAAGGGTGGATTTTGAGCGCTGCAAGAAAGACACATTTCCTTCATGTATGGGTGATAGTATGCTGTTTCTGCTCAGGTTACTACACAAATGTCCTCATGTTGGTGGAGGAGATTGTATCCTGAACCCCTGCTGGGCTAAGACTTGCTCAGCCCTAAATCCTGTCAGAACATTTCTTCACACGTACACGGTGTGTGCCTCTGCATATAGACAGAATCTGTGCACACTCCATAGGATGAGAGGACAGAGGTGACAACCAATTCATTCTCTAATTGCTTTTATTTCGCTCTATGAATTTGCGGTCAAATTTAAAAGCAGTCCTCATTTAGTTTATAGAGAATTGCCTCTTCTATTTTCCTCCCGCCAATACAGCAGTTACAGCCTACAGAGCATCGGGGTGAGGGCCAGAATACAGAGAGAAAGACAGAGATTGGATGAAAGATAGATGGGGGAAGAGAGCAGTAAAGAGAGGGAGAGAGAAGGGAAGTGACAAGGTGAGAGAGAGCGAGGGAGAGGAGTCGACAGAGAGATGGATGCAGTGGGGTCGCCGGGGTGAGGAGATGGTGTAATGATTAGATCACAGATACCCTTGAGCCTTCCTCCCGTCCCTCCTGCACACAAAAAAAAATCTGGAAGCGCACTAGGAGTGCAGGAAGGCCTGCAGTTGTAAATGGCCCAGCTGTCAGAGTTCATCTGGGCGGAGGAGGCGAGCGGAGTGGATTACGGAGTCTCTGCCTCCGCTCTGCTCCCAGGACGGAGAGGCGCTCGGGCCGGATCACATTTGGGCCGCTGCCTCACCGCAGAATTCCTAAAGATATTATAAATGTAAAGTTTGACTGCTCAGAGACTTTTGGGAACAGGCGAGGAGGACAAATAAAAAGTTATTGGAAATCTGGTAAAAGTCAGGGAATGTCAAGAAACTTCACAATACAACTTTTTCAAATCATTTCATATCTGCATATTTTAACCTGCTTTACTAATCCGGACGCTATACTTCTTTAACACACTTGAATCTTGTCTTTACACACTTTGGATTTGTCAGTATGTCATCCTCTTTCCCTCATCTCCCAGCAACATGTGTGCGGCGAAGGCTAAATGCCTAAATATTGTGACCCTCCTTATCGGATGATGTCATCTCCAAACTTAAGCAAGTTGAAGGTGACTGGCTTTGGGAAGAGTTGTGTTTAGGATGCTTCCATCTAGTGGTCACTTAATGACACTGATGATACACCATTTGGAAAAAAGGGGACGTCACAATGCAAAATACATTAAGATGACTATTTCTGACACATCTTCAGTGCAGTTTTAAACAACATGACTGAGAGCAAAAAAATATATTGTCATACGTATCATAATGGCAGGGCTGGCAGGGGGTTATTATGGATGTTCACACATAATGGCTCCATTAAGAACATACAAAAGCATATCTTTACAATAAACTCTTACTTTGATTCACAAAATATATTTCTGACACAATGACATGGACACAATAGAGACATGACAGGGGAGGATGAAGGCTTTGAATAGGAGTAATGCCCTATCAGAGGTCCACTCAAACTTTCATTAGAAAGTTCTGAATTCAATGTCTGATGCTTTAATTTTTGGCACCTCGAGAATGCTGCCTCTTAGTACCGAGTGATGTATGTTATGTACATTTTATTTTTACCTTCCCTTAACAGAAAAGAGATGGATGGTTTTTAAAATGTCATGTGTAGGCGTGTGTGAAAGTATATGAGGGGAAATGTAGCCAAAGTACAGCTTTAAAGGAAGAAGAATTTAAAGGATTAGTTAAAAGAGTTTGCCATGAAAATATGTACAGATTTCTAACAGGGATGTACGGTTTGTAGTGTGTTTCTCCGTCTATCCAGGAAAGAGAGAATCCTTGCTGAGATTAAAACATCGCTGCACAAAGCCAACAGCTGTTTCTGTTCTCACCTCCAGACATACATTGATCACTATTTTAATTCTGTGCACACACTGTCTTCCCACTCTCTCTCTGGCTATATAATGGCTGACTAGTAAGTAAAGTGGGTATTTATTCCCCTCAAATGTGGGAAAATCCTCTTTAAGTTTGGATTAAGGAGGCAGTGTGCATAATGTACTCAGGGGGCGAGGGTTGAACACAGAAGATACCTCGTGTCTGTTAATATTGTGACGCGTAATCTGGTAAGAAATCATGTTATGCAACACATCTGGGTCTCTTTCTTTTTCAAGAATGCAATCAATCATCCTATCTATCATATCTGTGGATGGTGAAAGTGAGAAACAAAGAAAAACGTGAGATAAAAGATTAAGAAAGTTGAGCTGCTCATGTTTTCTATCGGCTTTATGTTGGGTACAGGTGGCTTCGAGGTAGTGTGGCTCGTTCCCCGACAAGCTGCTAATGCCTCCACTAAGATAAACCCTGGGCCAATGTGCTCCTGTCGACAGAGCTGCCACCGATAAGAGCCGAGGATCGCTAACGGCCCAGACAACTGAAAACATGAGAGGCCGGCTCCAGATAAAGAATGTAGGAGGAAGGAAGGAAAATAGGAACAACAGCGATCAATTGCTGGCACTGCGCAGCGATGCTATCCGACGCAATCCCTCTCTTGCATCTCCTGTAGGAGTGTGTGTGTGAGGCGATCCTAATCTGAAGGGGAGGAGAGGTTGGAGGTGTGTGTGTGTGTGTGTGTGTGTGTGTGTGTGTGTGTGTGTGTGTGTGTGTGTGTGTGTGTGTGTGTGTGTGTGTGTGTGTGTGTGTGTGTGTGTGTGTGTGAATCTGGGTCAGGGAGTCATCAATAACCAGCAGCATTAGTGGAGGAAACACACAGGCAAGGTCAAAACTCACTGAAATCCCCTCAGAGAGAAGGGGACAGAATAGTGTGGGTCTTTTCCGCCTCCAATTGCTCTATTCCCACAGGTGGGTGGGT